AAAGAGAAGAGAAACCAAATTGTCCAGTACTACTGAAAAAAGAAGTTTCTAGCACATAAATACGTACATCTGCGGTGAGCATTGATATCTTGTGTTCACGTGTCTTCACTTGTTCCTTGAGAACATTAATGTGATGGGTTTGGTCCTGTTGCTGCTTATCTGTCATTTCCAGTCGCGATTGGAGTGTGTAGATCTCACAGTCTCGTTTGGAAATTTCGCCGTTTAGCATTTCCACCTGATGAGGGGGGAGATGTAATATGAATGACGGTTGTTCAGCGAATGACGGCTGATTACCATAATGCTTCCACTAAATAGGCGTCTTGTTTTGATAAAATATAAACCAACCGGAATACGAATGCTCATCCTACTTGTATGAATGAGGCAGCCAAAATTTCCCGTCTTTTAGGAAACTGCCACAAACTTGATTAATAACCAAAGATATTATAAAAGTTCGTTCGTGTCAAACACTTTCACGTCGTATATGAGGACGATGTTACTCCTCATCATCTAACAATCACACAGTGGGGTGTGTGCATGCAACCACTGTTATTAGCGTGTTGCGTTTATAATCTGCGGTTTTGAAAAATTGCCTTCTACATCCATTTAATTCATTTAAATCCTTATCTCATAAGCAGAGCATAACAGTTGTTACGTCAATCAGATTTCATGAACTTTTTTTCAAAAAGTGTATGACATCCAAAAGTAAACATACGTAATTTCAACTTTATGGACCAGAATCACAAACTTTACGATAACAATTGGGAAACGTAGAGACAGACCTTGAAAAGTAGGGTACTTTTATTCGCACAGAAACGTATAGACCTATATTGTTGTCATCCATTCATCTGAATGTTTTGAGACCATTAATTGGCTGATTCTTCTTTCTCGACTCGCAAATCAGTTGTCATGTTGTTCGTCTACTGCCTGTCTAGTCCTCCATTTGAAGCAAGACCAGGAATTATAGCTAATAACATCTCCAATCGAAACAGTTGTACGCACCTCCCGGCAGAGTTTGCCATTTACATCATATCTTGACTTGTTTGGGATCCAACACCCAATTTGCATCGTTCATTTCTATTGATAGATGTGAGTGTTTCAGTCTATAAATTTGATGAAACAAGGAGACTATGGTCCGATAAGATAGAGGTTCAAAACACAATGTCTTTTGTCCTCACTACTCTGTGGAAAACCTTTTGGTCAAGGTTCCCTCTGGATAGTCATTTTGCACTCTCATTCTCTGAACCATGATGGCCATCTTGGTGTCCACGAGAACCAATGACTTGCATATAAAACAGTTTAGTTACCTCACAAGCTGTTTGTTTGTTCGCCAAATTTAGCTTCTGGCTGAAACAGAATCGAATCCTGGGTCGTATGCTTACATCTCGTTTTTAGTGATTTGACTTAGGGAGTATCATATACCTGTGTGACGATGTACACTACTGATGAAGGCTGTGAGTAACATATGTTGTTTAGTGTAAAGCATCCTTGCAGCGGAAGGAAATTTGAGTTGGAATTTAACGCTCATTTGTTGGCGTACAACATCCAGACAGCATCTGGGAAACTCCGAAAATTTTTCCAAGAACGTAAAAGTTCTTGAACATTATACAAATGAGGCTTTCGATTTCGTGTTCGATTTCTTAAAACCGCTATACGTGTCTTAGGTCGTCGTTAGCCTTGCACCCTAACAGATTCCTCTCTTTATTGGTCTTCCCCTGAGAGACTGCATTTCAGTGGAGTCTTTTTTGGTCTGTCGCTGGAAGTGGTTATCTCAGAGAGGGGAGTTTTTGACGCCAAGCTGAAGCAGGTGGTTGTAGGGATCTGTATATCAATACTTGATTTCCAACGTGGAATTTTATGAAGTTTATATGCTTGAAATTTCTTAATCTCCCTTTTAAACGCCTGTTTATCAGGCATTCGTTATGGTCGGTCCTTATTAGGACTTGCCAGCTAGACCTAGTAGGATTCAGCCGCTCAAAATTCAGACCCCATCACCAAGTGGTCAGCGACCTCAAGTAAACTGATGACACATACGTGAACCCTAAAGCCTTAAAGTCCCAATTTTCGTGATTGTATGGTTTTCTGTGAGGATCATGCACGAAAGCTACCTGGACAATCAGAAGTAGACATATTTCAAACGGATTCAAGGCGTAGGTGCAGCTAAGCAGACCACTAAATACGTCTATATTGGCTGAGCAGTTCCCCGTACAAAATCCTTCTTATCAGTCCGAACTTTTCAGGTGGGCATAGAGGAATTGGACAAATGACCCTCTGGCAAGCACTTTTAGATTGTAGTTAGCTTCAGGACCAGCCAACTGTTATTTTAAACCAAGATTCACTTATAACCATGAGGTCGATAAAGAATATTACAAACGAGGGATCATAGGGAGCATGATGATCCCTATGATGAGTCTATAGTTGGGCGGTGCGGATTTTTCATCGACACAATGAGTAGTATTGAAGTACACTTGAATGTCCATTTTCAAATAAGTCAACCTTCACGCAGCACATTCAGTTGAAGAATATCAAAAAACGAGAGGTTCATCTTGGATGTTATTGAATCTCCCACCAACATCAATTTAGCTTCCAAGTTTGTTTTTTATCGCAGCGAGATTCACCTCGCCCCCATCACCTATGATTTTTCATGGAATGAAAGCGCGTAGCCATAAATCAGCCGCATAGGAAGGAAGTCGGCAATTATTCCAACATTTACTGACGAGCAGTTAAACACCCATTTTAAGAGTTGCAGTTTTTTGGTATTCGGTTATAAATCACCCAACACCATATGGGACTCACAGACATCCAGTTATTTCTGTGTGATAGCAGATCAAAATAAAATCACACTCAGTCTGGCTTTGTTCCATCGAATTGTCTTTCCCCGAAAAAACCTATTTTCAGAAAACCCCCACGGCTTCCAGGAACACAGGAGTGAGTCTCACCGAATCTGGTTGTAGCCTACATATTTACTGAGGCGGGATACGGGCCAGACGCTGTTGCGTTCCGGGTTGCTAAAGAGGCTGTCTTATGGTTGATCACGCTCGAGCGATCGTTCACGCCGGACGACACCTACTCATGGTGAAGTCATAATCATTTGAATAAGCCTGGTTTCCAAAAACTGCTATTCAGATGCTTAGAATAATGAAAAGTTCTGACTTTATTAGTAGTTGGAACGTGTAGCAAAGTTTGAGAGATGAATGTTTCAAATCTGAAGAGTACTTAGCACACAATCCATAGGCAATCTAAATAACTCGTGCAGCAAGAAGGCATATTGTTAAAACTTGTCTTCTAGTTGAGCAAAAAACCACTAGAACAAACATTAGGTGATATGCCACAGTAGCGACCTGACAAAGCAGTGGAAAATTGAGCAACTCGGAGAATAACACGTTAGTCAAAATTCAACTAGAAGGACAATTTTTAAACAGTTATCATTTCTGGATAAGTGGTCCTGCACAACCGTACAACGTACCTTGGATTTCAGCAACCGTTCGTTACTTCGAAATGCTTGTAGTGTTTTGTCCAAATCATCGATTCCGCTGCTTGTCGATGTGTTCGGAGTTATGAGGCCGTCATCCCGAAGACGTGTGATTTCATCTTCGAGTAAACGAATTTCATTCTCCAGTGTCATAATCTTTGACTCCTACAAAGTTACATTTGAACCACAACAATTAAAGTTCATCTTCTCACTCAATGAACTGTAAACAATAACTTCTACGAGAAATGTCACTGTGATTTTTGCTCCCAGTGTCACGTGCTTAGTGTGAGCTGCGGTAAATCGGAATGCTTGAGCACAATTCATCAAAGTCACGTGATGCTTTCCAACTTATATTCAATTTCTCAAGCGGGATTCCAACACCCACGAGACATGGAACCCTATCTGCTTTGAAGTAATAATTTGCTGAAAGATGTGATCATCTATTGTGAGGATCACATGCACTCAAAATCAGCAATAACACGCTAACCTGAGCAAAATAAGCGCCCGCGGCCATATGCGAATAGGTAATATTGGATCTGAGTCACAGGTTGTTTTTGTCCGGTGGATTCCCATCTGTAGTTTTAATCAAAACAAACAACCGACCATCTGAGTAATTGAGATGCTGACCTTAGCATAAAAATGCGTCCAATACCAAAAGAAACATTCTCCAAAACCTCGCCTTCAGTAGTTTGACACCGAGTTCTTAACTTATGGATAAAAAACTAGAACATGATGCAAAATTCAATAAAAGCGGAACTGGGTTGTCTTTGGAGCGAAAAATGTCGAAGAAGTCGGTGGTCGCCGTCCATTTGACGTGTCTGCTTATACTCCGACATACACTAGCTCAAATACAAGTTTTATTGCTTCTTGAATGCCCTGTTAAGGCGAGTTGGAAGCTCAGATATCGTGGTGATTGCCGGGGACCTGAATGCATGTGACTAGACTTAGTGCATCTGAGGCTGGAGTAGGTTGTCGACTTGGATTGAACTCGGAACCCATAGACAGTAACGCACAACTGCTTCAGTTATGTGCTGATATCACTGTTTTCATTCAGTACTAATTTCCTAGATAGACAAAGTCGTCTGGCTAAAAGGTAACCACCAAAACCATGCCAGGTACGGACTCAAATTGAAGAAATGCTATCAGTTGCCGATGGCGCGAATCACTAAATGACCGTCAGTTGTTTCGGTAAACTTGTGTGGAGTACTTCGCTCTTCTTATTTTGAGGTGCAGAAAAACCGCTTGGCAGCTGTGTGACTGGCAGATCCCTAAGCTAGAAGGATTGGTCATAATCGTTTTCTGGAATTTATTCCAACAGCTTCACCATCAGATGCTAACTCATACTGGAACAAAACTGCCACAGTGCTGGGAGTTGCACCAGTGGAACAGCGTTAACAGATCCGCTGAACAGAACAGTGAGATTGCTTGAATCTTGGAGAAAACTTCCCTCCGATCCCCGAACACTATTCACCACGACGAATTATCAGAGACTAAGTCAAACTTAGCGTGCCCGTTGACCGTCAGTCCTGGTAATCAAGGGAGATTAGGGAAATGAAAGAGGCCCAGGAAGCCGAGAATGACCGGAGGTTATTTTGGCTGACTCGTGCGACTGATCTTGAAAACCGCCTGTGCGCGAAGCCATCAAGGGCAAAAGTAGCGCTACTATTCTCAATAAAGAAGGACGTCTTGATCGCTGGGCTGAATACATCCAACAACGAATCTCTTGACCACCGACTGCCAATCATTTGTATCCTATAGATGAACTAGTACCCTAAAAGGTGAAGTTGGAACCCCCCACCCACGGCTTCGGAGGTTTATGGCTGCACACGTTCCCTCTGGTGCCATCAAGAATCTGGCCTGGATGACGTCCCATCTACACTGTTCAAGTATAGTGGTAAGGGATCCTGTCAGCACCAGTCTGATCTATTTTACTCTATCTGGGAAAAGGAGACTGCTCACACAAATACGACAATCAGTGATGGTGCCCGTTTTCAAAGAAAAGCCCGTAGAGAGTGCGGTAATCACAGTCGTAAGGATACTGTTGACGTCACTGCTCATTCTTTGCTTTATGGTAGCTCGTGAAACACGGACTCGGAGTAGCAAGTGGGATTACGGCCTGTTAGGGGTTGGGTTGTTCGAATCTTTACACCCCATCAGGTTCTAGAACAACGCTATGGGTGTAGAAAAAAGTCCACAGTTTTGGTAGTCCTGGATGTCGAATGCTCATTGAAATCAGGTGACCTGTCTTTCCTGCTTAATATGCTTTCTCAGCAAGGAATGTTCAAGTAAGTTGTCAGTATAATGTATTGTTTGTATTCTCAGATTCTCGGTGGTGTTTTTCGATATATGGTGAACTCTCCAAAGTCTTCCGTACACAAAATCGTGTTCGTCAGAGTTTCCCATCCTCTCTATTCCTTTTTAATGTCGTTATCGACGAGATAATAAAACGAATGCTGGAAGGTCTTCAAAACCCTGGTGTTCCACTGGCCTCTGACGATTTGAAGTTCGCGTCTTGGAAGAGCAGAAGATGCGGGTGTTTTTGGATGAATTGACCAGGCATTCCGTCCTTTGGAATGCGCTTTGCACCGACAAAGTGTAAGGTCGTGCTGCTGATTATGCCATCACTGAGCACAACACTTACAAACCAGGGGGAGGTACTTAAAATTGTGGAGCTTTCTACGTATCTTGGAAGTTGTATTAATGCCGACTGTAGTGGGACACATGGGGTCAGTGGACGAATCTTCAAGGTCCGGGTCGTTTTTGCTAATTTGGCGTCAAAGCGACACATTCCTGCATCACAGGGAACATGTGCATTAGGTTATATCATGGGCTATTTTGTCGGATGGCTGCGAGCAGCGAAAATGAAACATCTTCAGGTTTTCGACGATCATCGTCTCAGAACTATAGCTCGTGTGGGTTGGTGCCGACAAATCCAGAGCGAGGCGATCAAAAAGCAAGCGTTCTGTTGTGCAACGGGGGCTTCTATCAAAGAATGTGTCCAGCACCTGAAGCTGCGTTGGTAAGGCCATGTATTGAGCATGCCGAACCATTATTTGCCAAAGAAAGTGCAGTTTTGTGCCCACTTCAGTGTGGCGGAAGCAGAGGTAGCCAACTTTTGACCTGGCAAAGGAGTATGAGGGAGATTACAAAAAGTCTGGGTGTTGTGGGTGCGGCTCGTCCTCAAGGAAGGGGTCATGTACGCTACCCGTGAGCAGGGCCAAAGACACCGCAAAATATGGCCGCTATTCGGTGCCAGCGAAGGTCTTGTTATCAATTTCTATCCACACTGTCTTTATTAGTTTCTGGAGGTGTAGGTACCACAGAATGATTGTTATACACTAGCACTAGGTTGTTTTCATACCCTCTTTTGTTTTTTCCACAGCCAAATTAGCCATTTCCGCACGACGGGGAGATATTGATTTTGAACTTTGATGTTTTGCCGTCGATGATGATGATGATGGTAGCTGCTGGGACAAAATCAACTAAGCACAATGATATGAACCTCTCCTGGAGTGCGACAGTCCACTATTAAGATTAGGTCAGGTTATTCCTACTCATAAATATTTAAGAAATCTTCTTTCCGTTGATCAATAAAACATTTAACGACTACTCCGTGAGATAAGTTAAATCGGACTTCGTATGACGTCACGTTTTTCTGGTTGTTGACGAGAATCTCCGTCTTCCCAGACAGAAGCATGAGCAGCTGAGTGTAGACCGTATTCATCGTTGCATATCTCGCCACTTTGGATAAATGCACGCCAACTAACACTAAGAGGGTTGAAGAAAAACACTACCTTAAATCGTTAACTAACTGGCATTCAGCTGAATCCATGATCAAGATATTTCAGCATAAGGAGCCTCAAAATGGTATCACCGTGAATTCCGGTTTACTTTCCATTTTATTTGCTCTCCAGCCAGGACCCCAGGCTATGCCACTTACTATGAACGTAGGTTTGAGTGGATCAGACCTCTTGGAATAAGGCCAATGTTTTCTGGTCATCTAAAAAAAATCTAAGTATATTGGACGTAAGTTGAACAGCTCTCTATGCCATCTGTCAAGATGAAACCAATCTTATCAATTCAACCAACCGGGAGAAAGAACGAACGAGTTCATTCGCCAACTGAGCTTAGAAAAAACTGGGATTTTTACTAGTCGTAATCATACACCGGATGATAAGTTTGTTGAGGAATGAAAGCAATCGGAGGAACTACTAAGTCTAGAAGGAAATTATCACTACTGAAGAAGTTTAAAGTGACAGATTCGAGGAATCCTCGATGGCATTAGAGATTTATTCTGATTAGGTTTGCAGACAACAAAATGTTTATGCTGTCTGTGAAGGCTTGGCAATCTAATCCTGTATAACAGACAGAAGGTCCCGGGAAAAATCACCAATGATGCGTTGGTTTCAGTTCATCCCCGTTTAGATTTTCTAAGACTGTATGTCCGAACGACAGTGAACCGTAAGAAGAGATGGCGAGTTTGTGAGGCCTCAACAAAAGGTGTACTCTGAACAAAAGAAGTATCATCTGTTAGGTGATAAATAGATCATGTAAGTTTTGTATGACCCTGTAAATACAATGTAACATGAGATACTGTGAAAATCTTCGCACCTGCCGTTTATACTCGTAGATTTCAAACATGGAGCTTTCGGTTTTTGAGCTATGAGTTATACTCAAAGAATACTGGCATCATCATTGTGTCATGAAGCCCACAATAATCCAGAGTCCGAAAGCATCCAGGCACCAACAACGAGGTACTTTATAACCAAGAACCCGCTTATCCACTAGGTGAGTAATTACAAATGTGGAAGATGAAATCTGAATTGGTGACATGTTTTTACCATTTTTAACAAACAATTCAGACAGTACGCTTCGAATTCATCCTCAGGACGCACTACTGGACTGTCGATAGGCACAGTAATCAGCGGCTAGTTGGGTGATAGGACATATCAACACGTTCAGGCGAAAAGTTACACTCAAACAAACAGTAGAACGGAGTGAAAGATGGACATTTTCGAGAATTCCTTACTTCGTCTGAAAGTGTCCAATGCCAGTGATTTGTTCAAAACTTTGGGTGAGAATCTAGGCTAGAAAAGAGGGAGTACAACGCAATTCCTTCCTTGATACTGTGTTTTTGACTGTGCTGTTACTAAACTGTATTTTCTTGCATATTTTTCTCTTCGAAGAATTATTTTAGCATTGAACCGCATTTTCAGCGGTCACTTGAAAAGCCAGAGTAGAATGCAAGCAACTCACCTTGGTATCTACCAGAGATTGTAATGTCTGTGTCTGCCGAATATCTTGCCGGATCGTCTCGTTTTCCATCTTCAGTTGTTGATGGTCTTGGAGGAGTAAATTGAATTCCTTGAAAGAAGCAATAAAAATCTTTAAGCCTCATTTTCAATACGAGACACTGAAGAAGAAAACTGAGGGACACATCAAATGATGTCATGTCTGGTGTCCGGGTACATTACTGTGAACGAATATTTAGAAAGTATTTTGAGTAGATCACTTATTACTATTCCAATTGGCTTTACTCTCTTTGTCTTTTCTCGCTCCAAACCTCTAGTTTGGATTTACACGGAGGTCTTCAGCAAACCACTCATTTCAACGGCAGCAACAGCGAAGTTTAGCAAGCTTAGGGTTACGAGACCTGTGGTATTTGTGTGGCGTTTATCAGAACTTTCTTCTGTAACAATGATGTCGCCTCTAGCTTCACAGCTAATCAGTGCTTTCCGTGATGCGTACGCTGGAGCTCGTGTTGTTGCTGTCGTAGGACTGCGAGTCATTATCACAAAACAGTCTTGAAAAATGCTTCCAAACGGAAGACATCTTGACCACTCAACCAGGATTCTGGTTACACAGTCTTATGACCTCCGGTACTAGTTCTGGTCAAATGCCTTGGTGCTGAGTACAAAACCAATATGTAATCCCATTTTCGAGAAGAATATACTTGTGGAAAAAAAGTAGTGAGTCGGGATTTCCTCATGTGCGCGAATCCAATCAATGCTGAAAAATCGAGAAGCACTGTACAACTGTTTCATCCTTATTAGGAATCACCAGGAGGTCGCAATTAAGGAAAAACTTGAGAGTTTCCAACTCAATACCTCCCTGCTAGTAGTTTTAATAAAACTGTTCGGCCATGGTCGGCTGATCAGCCTTGTGATTCATTTCCGTCCACTAACAGTCGAGGAGTCAGCATGTGACCAAGTTATACGGTTCCTTGGATTGAAGAATGAGCAGTCCTATACCCTATCTAGATGGGAGTTAATCATGATGCCGATCAGAACTCACTTTGCCGAACGGTTTGGCGTTCAAACTCCTAGCTGGGAATTCACCGGTCTGAAATCCTTCGAGGTTTCGTAAGGTTTGCACTGCTGGTGATTTCCAATACGAATGAAACAGTTGTACATTGTTTCTCGGCTTTTCAGAATAGTTTAGATTCACTGAGAGGGACAACTGTCAATTGAAAATGACCAAATCTCCTCTCACTGCCATCCAAATGTAACTAACTGGGTTACAGACCAGAATCAAAACGGTCAGTTATGAGGCTAACATGAATGCAAATCTGTGAGCAAGGCATCTCCTCTCCCGACACCAAGTCATCGGCTTATTCGTTCTCGCATTATCAGGACAGGGGCGACAACTAACATTTTACCGATACTACTGAAAATTTGGCACCCCACATCAGCAGTTAACCATAGAAAAAAAAACCCATAGATAACAGTCAAGTTGGTTGGCTAGTTTTCAACCGATTAGAGGGCTTTCAGTTATTTAGTGTGAAAATTAACTATTCATCTTCTCGTACTACTACTACACCTACTACTTTTAAATTTTCAGTCAAACAGCCAATCAATCACATTGGTAAACCACAGTGGTTGAATTTAGTCCATGAAGACAAACAAAATAACAACTAATTTCCTCCCAGCTTTGGACTCTGAGTGTCACTCTGCCATTTCTGAAAACGGGTTAACAGCGAAACCGCCAATGAACATCATCTGGATTTGTAGATTAAGGCCTATCGTGTTCCACGTGATTTGCGTGTTTAGTTGATCCCGGGGCAAGTTACCTTGACAACGGATAGATTGAATGCTATTACGCATATGAGGTGCTTTGACCGCAAATAAGCCGAAGGGGAACTGGACGAGATACTCTAATAAATCCAAGGGGAACTGGACGAGATACTCTAATAAATCCACCCTTCCTCCCCATAAGTTTTTTTTTTTTGAATTTAGGAATCTGAGAGTATACTTCTGCGCAGCGTTGCTCGCAAGTTTCGTTTTTTGCTGGAACATGTACGAAATAGTGGAATATGGATGGTTTATTATAAGTCCTGCAACAGTTTTTATACGATTCTGTCACTCCCTCTATGTGGAATTGAATTATCCTCAGTCTGCCATCGGTGCCACCTCCTAAGGCGATAATATTGTCCGCCTACTTCACCAAAACTACTCTGCTGTACTCTTTTTTAGTGTGTGAATAACGCTAAGGTTAATATTTTCATAAACCGTTTTACAGAAGTGAGCGTTTCCATATTCGGAATTCGAGAGGACCAGCTAATTTACTTGTATGCTCCACTGGGGTCTTAGTCGGGTTTGAAACAGCATCACACGTATTCAGGAGACGAAATAAAATCAACCCAGTAACGATGCGTTATCTTGTTTGCATATTGTATCGATCATGTATCAATCAACCAATCAACCCATCAATCAATCAATCAACAAAGTGTTATCTTGCATCAATGCCCAGTGGTACGATCTCCAACTTTACGCATCCGAGTCCTGGTACTTCTAATCCGCTTGTTTCGTAAAGACCTTCATTTACGGTGCAAACTTAGCAGAGTGAATTAAAACGAAAGCTTATCGTCAGCCTGGCTGCAAGTCAATTTTATGGAACGCACAAAAAATTGGGATGATGCCACCATTTTACATTGCAAAACTTACAGACAACATCAAAGAAACAAAAGGCATTTTTCCTGGACCGCATATCTCACTTTGAACCAGCTAGACATTTTTTCCATGTAGCATGTCCTGCAACAACCAATGGAAATTGACGCTCAATTTCTTTCAGGCGGATCGAACAGAAATGCTCTTGGTATTGATTCAAAAACCCTGGTTAATGATAAACCCCTTGCTCTCACACACTTCTCATGGGCTTCAATAGACCGAGATGAAGCTGGAAAGAAAACCGGCACTAGTTTTCTGATCCTAGTAATTAGCCACCGACGCTCTAGCGGGAAAGTTGCTTACAGTTTCGGTAGCTCAAACGTTAATTTTCTTGCCATTAAATGAAGGCCAAGATTCCTCGGCACCATGAAATCCGTCCTAACTGTGATTACCTACATTGTATCGGACTGACTCCAAATGACTACTGTTGGCAGCAAAATCGATCAAAAAGGTTAACTACCATAAAATGAGTGTATGGTCCATTCTGCGTTACATTCTGTCAAGAGTGAGCTTCACTCACGAACAGCCAACGCAGCCTTCAAGTGAAGATTTTGCATTCCTCTCGAACAATCAACAACGACAGTCAGATACAAGACCTTTTTCTAACACAATATTTCATTTGACACCCGTTGCGAAGTAGTGGGATGTGACACGGTAGATTTGTGATCCATTATTTGTATCAAGGCCTGTTCCTCTTGGCAGGGACAACTGATCTGTAGCTAGCATGCTCACAATTCCTTTGGAGTCCCGAACAATACACCGGTTTGTCGGTACATACAGATGTGATCAGATCTTTGATTTCGAAAACTGCAGGCAGTCTTCACGTTAGATTCAACAAGATTTGGTATGCCGCATATTGATTGATTTGCTGGCTTTGGACCTCTTATTTTATCCTGATTCGTACTGTATTTCATGTTTTTATGTCCGGACTACTGCATGTTGAGCGCAAGATTTGCTGCTCTGTTGTGTTCTTTCGCTTCGTACCATACCCAAGAAAGCCATCACTCAGTCCACTTAGCCTGTACTCAGCCCTCGTGCTGTTCTATGCCACATTTGGTCGCTACGTGTCTTGGTCACACCCTCCACACTCTGTTACTCTCACACTCCACTGCCCCGTGAATATTGATCAACCAACCAGCTACAAACCACTGGTCTGTCCAGGCGGCATAAAGTTTCCTCGCCTATGCGATGTGAGAGCTTGACATGAACTCAAACTGACCATCAGAAATGAGCAATAATTTACGGCGAACAAAAGGCAAACCGACAGCGGTATGGAGTTTACGGTGCTACTAAGTGAAATTACGCGGTATGCATAAATGCGTACCGTGGTTCAAGCTGGGATAAGGTCATTAGAATGATTATTAGAATTTCGGAGTTGGCAAAGCACTGAGTTGAATGATGTAGACAGTTTATTACGCTGATATCATTCTAACTCCCTAACATGTAATGGAAGGCCCAGAGGATGATCATTCGCCAGCTCACCGATCAACCGATGTCCATACTTCACAACCCAAACTGGATCAATCCACGAAATTCACTAATGATATTCACGGAAGTGTACCATTTTCGTTCATAGTCACACCACTCTCCTTTGGACGGTGGTCCTCCTATTCTGGCGTAATTATTCCGGTGAGTCCTCACCAAGGGGAAGCATTGGAGTAGTTTTGCTCTTATTAGAGCTCATCATCAGTGCCTCGCCTCGCATGTCAGCTGTCCGGGGTTCAAATCTCGGCAGGGCCATTGGGTGTGCACTGCTGATGAGCTGTAATAAGAGCGAAGCTCGAGTCCAGTGCTTCCCTTTGGTGTGGACTCACCGGACTAATTGCACCGGAACAGGAGGACCACATTCAAACGAACGTCCGGTGTCTGAAAACTCTCGGATAACAATATGATCGGTGTGTTATAACTGATATCCGAAAAATATTTTGAGATATATCGAACATCGATCTTTTGTAGCACATTCGGTTGAGGATCATCATAAACCAGAAATACAAATGAGTCTCTCGGTAACACCGAAGTAATGTGTAAGTGACTATATTCAACCAGCAGTCTAGTCATTGTTATTTCACAGTGCCAGCTCTGTAGGTATTTGTGAAAGTTGAAGAGCCTGACTGGTTTGTCTCTCGAGGAGAAGAATTTTTGCATTTCGAGCAATTCGCTTTTTATGAAAATAGTATAGTCTTGGGGTTTTGAGGGATGGGTATTTCGTTCATAGTCACACCACTCTCCTTTGGACGGTGGTCCTCCTATTCTGGCGTAATTATTCCGGTGAGTCCTCACCAAGGGGAAGCATTGGAGTAGTTTTGCTCTTATTAGAGCTCATCATCAGTGCCTCGCCTCGCATGTCAGCTGTCCGGGGTTCAAATCTCGGCAGGGCCATTGGGTGTGCACTGCTGATGAGCTGTAATAAGAGCGAAGCTCGAGTCCAGTGCTTCCCTTTGGTGTGGACTCACCGGACTAATTGCACCGGAACAGGAGGACCACCATTCAAACGAGAGTGGTGTGACTATGAACGAAATACCCATCCCTCAAAACCCCAAGACTATACTATTTTCATAAAAAGCGAATTGCTCGAAATGCAAAAATTCTTCTCCTCGAGAGACAAACCAGTAGGCTCTTTCAACTTTCACAAATACCTACAGAGCTGGCACTGTGAAATAACAATGACTAGACTGCTGGTTGAATATAGTCACTTACACATTACTTCGGTGTTACCGAGAGACTCATTTGTATTTCTGGTTTATGATGATCCTCAACCGAATGTGCTACAAAAGATCGGTGTTCGATATATCTCAAAATATTTTTCGGATATCAGTTATAACACACCGATCATATTGTTATCCGAGAGTTTTCAGACACCGGACGTGTGCGGTGTTATGTCAATAGAAAAAATTGGACAGTATTACTAGAGCCCGCGTAACTTCGTTACATTTTGTTTGATTGTCTGCACTTTTTACAGGAACGGATACTATGCAAACCACACATGGGCCAGGTAGTTTAGCCATGCACAGTGCACTATGTGAGTTGGTCACGTCTTGACCAAGGCTATTCGACAACTTTCAGTTATGATCCGGTGTTTGTTCGTCCTGATTCAAATTTCTGCGTCGCCAAACAACATATTCACGTGGACTGTGTTTGGTTGGGTAGTTTTCCAAAACAAGAATCTGCCACGATGTAGGAGAAATGGAGAATTTGGAAATCTTGATTACCTACACGAGCATGCGAAATGTACACGAAAAGATAGAGCGCTTGAAGGGAATCGAACCTATAACCTCTTAGTTACTCGGCAAGTTCCGGGTGCTGGCCCCGTTCATGAATTCTCTCCGCTCGTTTGTACTGTACACTTGTATGCATAAGCAAAACCATCCAGTTTGCTACCACAGGACAAATCCTCATAAGATGCTGAAAATTTCGTCAGAATTACTAGTCCAATTTTCAGATTTTTCGTGAATGCTTAAACAAGCACTTGAAGCCTCCACGACGATTCGAACACAGCCCCACTGGTTGTCTCTACTGTTCCCTCACAAGTTTCAGAATTTTTCTGGGGTAACTGCAGCATCCTATGCAGTTAATTACTGCTCATTTAGAAGCTTCGTTCTTGAGATTGTACTCCAAAAGTTCTCCGAAAAACAAACGGCAAATAAGTGTTAACCTTTAGAGTGCTCGGTATTTCTAATCAAGGAGAGTTGATATACCGAAACAAGGATTTTCTTCCACAATTCGGGGAAATTTTGTCTACACCCTTAACACCAGCAAGCTACCAAAAAACCATAATCACGTGAAGTCACTTGCGTTCATGGGAACGTGTGTTAGATTTCTGTGCTGAATACTTAACCCAAATGTGACTTAACCAAATGTGACAAGTGGAAACCTGAATATGACCGAGGAGCAGATCACCAATCATCTCCAATTATGACGTTCCGTGGAGTACCGCTCTGGTAAAAAAAGACATCAAGAAGAACTGAAGCCCATGGGAAAACGAATACCGAGAGCGAGAGATTTCCTGAAGATGGACAAACAAGCTACTCACTCAAACGAAACCTCAGTAGGCGAAATTGGTTTTTTTACAGGTAGGCATACTTGGCTGTACCATGAAAAAATTAACTTCACGTTGCTTACATGACTCTTGTGAATTCCACCGTACTTTCCAGTGCGTATCAGTGGGCTACCAATAATGTTTTTCATTGATGTTGTCTTACTATTTACAAGTATTCCGTTGTGTAGACAGCTGACTACTTGTGCGTTTGTCGCAACACTTAGCTAGGTTTCTCGGTCAGATATCTCAAGGATCTCGCATAATATGTATAGGATATATACGCTTCGACTTCAAAAGTACTGCTTATAAACAGAGTAGAGGCGTCGCTCTGGGTAGTTCGTAGTCCGATCAATCGCACGAACTCCGGGTTTATCGACTGTTCAGATGCAGTTGAAACTCATTATACTCAGTACAGACAGATCTTATTGCTTAAGTCCGAGATTGCACGCGTTTTGCTGCATTTAGGAGCACTAGATCACCGGCCTTGTGCGCGCAGAAAGTATTGATAAACAAATTCCGTCTACTCTAGAATCGACCTTACTTTCGTCTTACAATTAGTCTGTCTCATAAATGTCGCATGTTTTGCGTGAGCGGCTGTAAAGCAAAACGTTGGTATTTCCCTGATGATGCGAAAAAGAGAACTCACTGGTTCAAAGTTCATACCAGATGACCTTGCCTATATGTGCCGTCACTTGGGGTTCTTCAACGAATCATTACATCCACGAGCGCCCGAGGCGTTTGCTCTCAAAGACGCAAAGGAACTGAAGTACTTGTGCACTCAGATGGGTATTCCACCCCTAGTGATCCGCAGTTCGTGACAGGGTTTCAGGACGGGATTCCTGTTAATCCTTCTGTGCTGGTTGTGGTAACTAGCTGCTTTCAGTTAGCCAACTAAAACGAAAAAACTGAAGCCGAGCTACCGAAATGGCACGACCTCGTAATCCGCTAAGTGTTCGCTATGGTCTTCTAAAACGTCCCCCTATTCATAGCAGACACACATTCCTCACAGGTGCTCTTTAGGAGATAAAAGCATGTATTTGTTCGTGTATTCCTTTTACAAACCTCAGCGTGACTGAGTTTCTTTTCCAGTAGTATGACTCACTGTTTATTGCCTGGTTTCCTGGCCCACAGATAGATGTCTTTACGTTCCCGATCCGACACTAAGAATCAGGGACAATTATCTATATAAACTGCTCATCTTTAGCAGTTTGCTGACGACTAACTTCCGTTTACTTATGATCATAGACGAGCCGGATTTCAATAACTGGATATTCAAGGGCTTTCGATAGCATTCAGATTGATTACACCATGCATACATCTTACCTCTTTCATCCGTGAGAATTCGTAGTTTCTTTCAATAAGCTGGCGCTCTGCCTCACTGCCGCGTGTGCACGCCTCACTCAGTTGAGTTCGGAGGCGATTTATCTCCGCCCGATCGGCTTCAATACGTTCTAGACGAATGTTGGATGCTGGTCCGGCTTCTGTTGCTGTCACTCCTGCTACATCGGCTGAGGGTGTGGTCCCAGTCGTACTACTTGCAGCAGCCTTTCCAGCCTTCACCGCTTCAACCAGCCGCCTGAGACTTTCTTCCGTCGCAGTAAGACTCGCTTTCACATTTGCCGTTCTCCGATCTGCTTCCTCCACTGCCTTTTTCAACTGTCTGTTCTCCACAGTCAATTCATCATTCTGACGTTTGGCCATGTCCAGTTCACTAAGACCTTCTGACCCGCGCTCTGTGGAGAAACGACCTCGGATGCGATAGTCTCGTTCTCGTCGTAGATCCGTTTCCATATTGTGCAAGGTTTCCAACATGGTCTGTTGTGGAAAATTTGACAGCAACAATAGTGAGAACTAGAAGACCAAACAGTATTTCTAGACTAACATATCATCGATGACTGGCCGCCAGTCATTCAAGTGTTCCAATTTATAGACAGATCGCGTGATATGGAAGTGAAAGTCACTGTCTTAAAATAAGTGTTCCGGTTTTAATCCGACCAAAACTTTTCCGAAAATACCCATTTAAATCCAACCCCATGGTTGGTAACTGGTGGTCCTCAGCAATAAAAGCCGAAAAGCACTATAAAACCGTTCCTTTTTCATTAGGTCTAATTAGTATTCCACATGTCAAGAAACTCCAGGCAGTTTCGAACCAATCCATCCTCGAATAGCGGTTAACACTTGACCGTTCGACCACAAGCGAAACTTGTTAAATATTCCTCCTAATTTCGAATAGTCAGACCTCAATCCCAAAAACCACTGTTGCTTTAGGTGAAAGCTGTGACTGTTCGACATCGATTTATGTTTGACCTTACTGTGGTAAGATAAGACGCGTAAATTTGATCGCCCCCACTTCATTCTTCGCCCATGTTCATCCCATCGTCTGATGTTATTACAAACCTCTTAACACAGTTCAGCGTGTCTCCAGCTTCCATAAGATTTTCTCTTTCTCATGTTGTGTCCTTAAAATCGATCGGTTGCCATTTCCGTGCTTGTTGGTTTCCTCCTTTCAATGCTTAGTCTGTATCCATTGTGCTAACAGTAGGCAGTCGAATAAAAAAGAATCATGTGACTGTCTGAGAAGACCAACAGCTGGTTCAAACCACTTTTCACGCTCAAATGAACTTCACCAGGTACGCAAGTTGATTGGCCGCTGCGTGTAAGACCTCTAACGTGAGGGCCACGTATCCGATCCTTGTATGTTTGCTTGCTAAGTCTCAATACGGACAAAAGAACTTGTGTAACTGAATCTTCGGGGATCCAATTAAAAATTTTCTAACTAACAGTGTCTGGTATGCAAACGATTCTAAGCAAAAATGCTGTGAAAAAATGAACGAAAAATTCGTACTTCCGAGTAACTGATTGTTAATGTGTAAGAATGGGCGACTGTAATAATATATGAGGTAAACGAGCTTACGAGTGTACATAAAATCATTTATAACGTCTTGTGGTAAGTTTTGAATAATATCTATCTAATGAGATATTCTCAGTTGAACACTTCGTTACTCATTCGCTCCCTACATTTTGTGTAATTGAATGGTTTCGTTGAATCTGTGATGTATTTTGACTCTGTTGTATTCCCGTATACACACAAGTATATTGTATCATGTGTTGCATTTGTTTGTAGTGTGGGTCTTCCTCTAAACCGTCCCGGGTGACCAACTGTGCAAAAGTTTGGATGTAATAATCCCTGATTAAACAGAATGCATGTGATACAATCGGGGATAACAAGTCGTTCCATTCGTGGAGGTTTTCACCTTTTCCGCGTGATAACTATCCATCTTTAGGATGGCACGCAAATGAGTAACAACCATCAACGCTAGCCCTGCAGGCTGGTAGAACGATGCACCGAAAAGAAGTAAGGACAAATGAACAGTCTATTCATGACTTTCCAGTCCACCAAGTGCGCAAAATAAGACACAGACACACCACTTCCATACTTGGGAAAAATACCTCGTGGCAGATTATTTTGCTTTGTTTCTGACAGGATAACCAACTACTAACAGCAGCGGTATTCAGTAGCTCGTGTAATCTTTCTAACCTATTGCAGTTGCAATGCAGGCTTCATCATTATAGTCCAGTAAATTTATGCTGAAAAACTGAAAAGCGCTGTAAATTTCCAGCCTCGTAGTGAATCGACAACCGTAGATAAATTCATAGGGTGATTCAAGCACGCCTCGCTATTTATTCGGACTTGCAGCAATGTAATTTACTTAGAGAAAATGCAGTGCCAAGGTCTGTTTACTCATGCTGTTCCCGCCACGTGATCCTAAGTTAACTGGCTTTGCAAGTGACGAGTGCTCAGGTGGAATGCCCTTCAGGGTTGTGAGATGCTAAAGTCTACAGCAGAGGTTCATTGGCCATACAAAGCACGCACAAGTAACAGCAAAGAGAAGCATACTCTGCTAAACTGGAGCGTCAAATGCACTATATGTCGCCCAGAAAGGGGATGACTCATAGGTGTTGGCCAATAGGACATTTTGTTTTGTTTTCGTGGAGAGAGTTCTGGAGGGCCTTTTTGTAAGACATTACTGAATTTGATAGTTTTCGGTCACGCATTTTTGAAACCCTGATCGTTGTTCTCGCTAAAACTTAATGCATTAATGGAATGACTACCGTACTTCACCGGAGGCTGTAAAAAAGCTCATGTCAAAGACAGAGCTGTTTAACAGATAAACCTTATAACTAGCTAGAAACATTCACTGCTACTGTATAAATAATCAATCAGTCTTATAAAAATTACCTGCTTTTCGAGCTGTAGCTGATGCAAGTGATCAGCTAGGATAGCATACTTGGCATTTTCTTCTTTTCGCATTGCGCGTTCCCGCTTTAACTCCGGACTCCAAAATGTTCGAATGCTTGTGGTGCATGCATTCAGCTTTTCTCTAGTAAGCTCAAGTTCATGTTGCAATCGTATACATTCTCTTTGTAATAGTGTGACATCTGGCATAGTCCCCAGGTTAAATATTCCAGTGGCAGCGGGAAATGTAGGGTAGGCGGCGGGACGTTGTAGAGCGGCATAATCAATTCCACCCAAAGAGGACAAAGTAGGTGCAGTTAGGCCACTATAGTCCAAAAGTTGGTTAGCGGGATTTCCGTACAGAATGGGGTTCGTACCAATTCCGGCCGCTGCCAGAAGGTTGTTATAGTCAGCTAATCCCTGTTTCTCCAAATTCATATCGTACGAGTGTGCTCGACGTTGTTGAGTACCGCCAGAACGAAGAACTGCAGCCAAACCAGGATTAGAACTGAGTGATTTCAAGGCATAGGCAGAACGTTCATGGTGTCCTGGAAGACGTTCGGACATGGCGTCATAATTACCGCGCAGTGTACCGTAAAGTTCCGCACGACGATCAAGTGATGCGGCTCGACCTTCCAGTCCCAGTCCTCCACCAGGGTTGTCCACAAACGGTTGATTTAGTCTGGGTGAACTTGAGTGGGGATGAATGCCCGAATCGTACATATCACTGTGTCCTAAATCCCGAGCACTCGCCGGTCTAGGACGATCATGCGTTGTTAGTTGTTCACCAGGAAATGGTATATCGGATCGGTAATCTGTACGGTGGTATGGAGATCGGGGATCAACACCTTCCATTTACCACACTCTGTGGAACAGTGGATCCCAGGTACGGGTCTAAAACGTAGAAAGTATATTGTGAAACACACACATTAAGGACACCATAGACGAGAGATTCAGCTGGATCCAGTTGTTGCCTGGCTTAAACAGAATTAGTGCACATTATGGATTGCGTCCAATTTGGGTCCTAGTAGAACCCTGAGATGGTGATCTCAGATTTGATGATCATTAGGAAGAAGAAAGCAGGTCATAAGCTGTCGAAGATTTTTAGCGGCCTTATGAGGAGCCTGTTTCATCCATGAGACATTGCTAAGATGGTTGGTTGATGAACCAAAAGGATCAATCTCCCTGTTCATGTCGTTACTAACAACTGTTAACCGCACAGTGCTCTTGAGTCGGGTACTCACACTATACTACGAAGGTCCTGATATGAAGTAAAACGAGCAGTAATTCAATAGTCGTCCAAGCGGTGCTCTTTCCATTCCAGGCCATAGATTTCTCTGTCGTAGCTTTTATTTCTGGAAGCACCAAACAACACAGTGGTTTTTATACCTGCAATCTCTCTATTGAATAAGACTGTGTTGAATTTCGCCGCATCCAGACATGCACCATTCTGATGAATTTCGGATTGATAAGCTAGCATTTTTTGGTCATCGAATATCCGTCGGTAATTTAAGTGCGGTAAAAAAAGTACTTTTCTCAAGCGCCAGAAGAAACCTCGGCATCACCGTAGCGATTTTCGTAGAATCATTCGAAAACAAAAATTGTTTTTTTTTCATTCTGAAATCATTGAGTACACTTGTATCTAATGGAAGAACTGGTTATGACAAGTCCATAGTTTTCTAGTTTCCTCATTTGCCCCATCTTTAAACAGTTTCATACGCCTCCGTCAAACCGGTCAAATGCCTATCGGTCTGAATGGATTTATCCAATAGAGAGAAGAAACTGATGGAAAACCGAGACACGAACGAAGAGTTCAAGACAACACATGGCCGTGTCAAATGCAGACAGGTTGACCGTGAGCAACTAACAATACTGGATGGTGATATGCGTTCATGTCAAATGACATTATTGGTTACCGAAACACTTAACTGCGTCCCTTGTCTACAATATATCGAAGAGTTTTCATCAACCATATAAGTATTGTGTTATGCCAAGAAAACACCGATCCTGAATGGCTCACCTACACTGCTTGCAGAGTTGTAGGACTTAGCCGACTTGTGCTCGACTAGAAGAAACATTTTTTCGGTATGCTTTTCGTCAGTATGCTTTTATAAACGTTATGTACTTATCTGCGCCAGCTACTTGCGCAAGACAGCAAAGTGTACCACTCTCTGCGGAGTTTGCTCAGACTGGTCGGTTTCGTGTGAGTTACTCCAAGGTTCAAACAATACGAACATACTCTGTATTGTATAAGCCCAAGTTGACATTGTTATCTTAAGGTACCCCACTTCTTGACGAAGCAGAACGGGTACAACGAATTGCGTCACGTAGCACAAATGCTGATGGGTCATGTCGGAGACGAATGGCTTGAGTCTTGTTTGATGGAATGATTGGTTTACTCCTTGATTTCAGACGAAACTTCCGCTTAACTGACTCCCTCGTCTTCATCAGGCATGCAGCTCAAAAGTCTAAGGGGGATTAATTGATGGTTCACATCATCATCAATCGAAGGCCTGCAATAACATTCGGTTGTTACTTGGTTCATCATCTAATGAGCCGAACCGGCAAACGCGACCACATCGATTGTCAAACTAAACCATTGGGAGTGATGCAGTGTAAATCTGGTAGAACTTGCTAAATTCGAGGCATGGCTTGAAACAAACACTGCTATAAGTATGACACAATTACATTCGACAAGGTTTCTGTAATTTCAGAGGCTCAACTATACACACGACGATGGTTTTTGTTAGCAACCACTTGAGGTTTTTGATTAAGTGAATCTCAACGTGTTCAAATATTTCATTTTTGTCTTAACATACACATTCTCATGTTACTCCAGGTCCCCCTCCATGCTCGTAAGTGCTGTGTGACTGCTGTAAATAGCGAAACCTTAAGATTCACAAGTGTTGTGACTGACCTTTTCTTCTATCATCCTGGACATGAAAACGCTCAAAATGAGCCACTGGTGTTGGGGAAGAACCGCGGAGTCATTCATTAGAAAACGCAAACTGTACAGTTACAGACTATTAGACAGTGGAGCAAAATTCATAGGCATCTTGCTTACAAAAACTGACTATCCATCTTCTACTTGAACGTGTATTCCTGAACATTCCTGTATATCCTTTGACTGTTACTCAAATGCAAGCAAATGCTACAAGTGACTCCGCAAATTCTGTAACAGATATCACTTTTCAAGAAACACGAAGCGGATTTCCGAGAAAACTACTCGCAAGCCTCATTAGTAGTATCCACCGTATGGTGGTTCACGCCTACACATTTTGGAAACAACTGAGCTAAACTCTACAAACGTCACAAATCAAATCAGTGCAAAAATTTATAATGCCCCAAACCGAATTGGGTTCAAACTTGATATAGTATGTGTGCTAACTAGTAAAAGATTTGACGTCAGCTAGGCATTATAAAACTTGTGGAAAGGTTGAAAAAATTCACAGGTGAAAAGTTGAATGGCACATCAGCATTATTATAATCGGTTTCTTGAAAAGGAAATGATTACGTCCGCATGTATATACTACATCAGCTTATGTGAGTCGCGTTGTTGCGTAATGCAACAATTCACGAACTGGACAGTGTAATCGTCAATCGCATGCGACTGCTACCTTCAACGGATTATTCCTTACCAGTAACGAATATTCTGTCGACAGTCTACGTCATATAGACCGATTCAAGAGCAAGATTTACTGAAACTGATTTATCGTTTTATAGAGCAACCAGAAACAGTATTGTTTGCTTCTCGGGTAGATGGAGAAGGCACCGATCCGCATTCATTGGATGCTACCATCTTGCTGCTTCAGTTCATCAAAGCATTCCAACTCCCAGTTTACACAGTTACATAAGACGGACACTCCGCAAAATTAAACAGTTTAGGTGATCGATCGTTTAGACACTCCATGGATCATCGGTGCATCACTGAATAGCAGTCAGCTGTTGAGTAACAATTAAATAAAGCAGCTTTTTTAGAGTCGATTGTCTAAAACCAGTGTGGCTAGCGCCGATTCAAGAGTCCTGAAGAATGGCTTGGACATAAAACTAGGCGTGTAGGCAGGTTGCTCGGATGAAGACTAGCCACATCCATTTGTGGCCAAGTGTAATCCCAAAGTTATCAGTGGTGGCGACACATCGCACAAAGGAAAGCTTTGTCACTGCACTGACCCAGGAATGAGGTAAAGTACAACAAAGTATTGAATGACAAACGGTGTGATTCTAAGGCCAATGAAATTATCACGCGGAAAGTGAACTGCAAAAAGCAAAACCGGCCTCTGGTTATGACTTTTGGAAGCACTAATCAACTGAGTTGTCCACAATATTTTACGGAATCTAGCTACTTAAGAACTGTTTGCTTCATTGCGCGTTTTGCTTTAGTTTCACTGAGAGACTGATGACGTTACCTTGTATGGTATCAAGCCCTCTTGTAAAACTAAGACCCTTGTATACCTGCAACCGTTAGATTCTGATCTACCTTGGGGTTCAGACTGCACTTATCCGCCCAACTAACATCAGCTCCACACAAAGAAGCTTCCCTTTTGAACTAATCTGCGTACCTCATGAATGGAAGATGAGAATAGCCTTTTATTTAACTATAAAATGAATTATTTTTATTCAATTTAACTTAACTTAATTTTGCTTCAAATTGAACAGAAAAGGGGAAAACATTTTTCAAAGAAACACGCATGAAAACGATTTGTCTACTGGGATAAAACATTGACTTTGTGTCTCATCTTGTGGCAAACAACGTTGAGAATGATCGGGGATAAAAGATTGGAATTTTGGTCGTGGTAGCCATTATGCTAACGCTGATAAACATTCTGGGCAGATTTTGCATAAAGACCGTCTGCAATTGGAACGACTCTTGAGGGATCTGTTTATTGATTTTATTTATAGGGATTATATAGAAGAAACAGTCAAGTACGTTAAGAAACGGTAGAAAGCCTATTGTGGTTACCGCGGAATTCAGCCTCCAGCGGAAGAGTTAAAACACTTCACGTCCAGGAAGGATTTCAAAGTCTGGCCGTCCTTGACTCCTACCGATTCACAAATGAATGCACACACCACTCGGAAAAGCAGAAATAGATTTTTCCGGGAAAACGTCATCAATCTCCCAGTAAAACAAAAGCAAATCGCTCAATGAAGCAAACAGTTCTTAAGTAGCTGGATTCTGTCGACAACTTAGTTGATTAGTGCTTCCAAAAGCCATAACCAGAGGCCGGTTTTGCTCCAGACACCCACAGTTCATTTTCCGCGTGATAATTGCACTGGCCTTAGAATCACACTGTTTGGTTTTCAGAATGTTTTGTCACTCACCACTTTGTTGTACTTTACCTCATTCCTGGGTCAGTGCAGTAACAAAGCTTTCCTTTGTGCGATGTATCGCCACCACTGATAACTTTGGGATCATACTTGGTCACAAATGGATGTGGCTAGTCTTTATCCAATCAACCTGCTTACACGCTTAGTTTTATGCCCAAGCCATTCTTCAGGACTCTTGAATCGGCGCTAGCCACACTGGTTTTAGACAATCGACTCTAAAAAAGCTGCTTTATTTAATTGTTACTCAACAGCTGACTGCTATTCAGTGATGCACCGATGATCCATGGAGTGTCTAAACGATCGATCACCTAAACTGTTTAATTTTGCGGAGTGTCCGTCTTATGTAACTGTGTAAACTGGGAGTTGGAATGCTTTGATGAACTGAAGCAGCAAGATGGTAGCATCCAATGAATGCGGATCGGTGCCTTCTCCATCTACCCGAGAAGCAAACAATACTGTTTCTGGTTGCTCTATAAAACGATAAATCAGTTTCAGTAAATCTTGCTCTTGAATCGGTCTATATGACGTAG